TGAAATTTGATTATGATCTAGTTTTGAGAGACGTTTCTTCAAAAGAAAGTTTTGGAAAACACGACTTATTCCGATTTTTGACGTTTTAATGACGTTTTAAAACGTCACCCGTCCCCAAAGGGTTAATGGCCAAATATCCAGAAGTACCTGAATGGTGGTACACAATTGTTTTTGTTTTTAGTTTTATTGCAGCAGCTATTACTTGTCATATAGGTAACTTTATTCCATGGTATTATTTATTGTTGGCCGTTCCGAGTGGATTTTTTTTAATATTGCCAATAGGAATCGTTGCAGCAAATACAAACCAATGTCCAAGTACAAATATTTTCGTAAATTTTATGGGTGGCCTTCTTTTATTAGGGCATTCAATTAGATATGCAACATTCAGAGTAGTTGCTATTGCGATACAAAGACAAACATTAAATTTATTACTATTTTTAAAATTGAGCCATTATATGAAAATTCCTCCTCGTAATATGTTTTTAACAATAATTACTGGAACAATTATTTCGTGTCTATGTAGATATATGTTTGCTAATTATTTGTTTGCAACTATTCCAAGTATTTGTACAGCTAGTAATCGATTATGGCCTTGTCCGGATACACAGTCTTTCTTTTCTAACTCAATTAGATGGGGTGTTGTAGGTACTTATATGCCCCTGTGTATATGTGCTGCTATCTTTCGATGTATTTTTTTCTTTTAGGCCCAAGTAAACTATACGGACTTTATTCTGCTCTACTTTGGTTTTTCTTAATTGGTGCATTATTAACTTTTCTATTTTGGTTGGTTAGTAAGAAATATTCTGAAATAAAATGGATAAAATACGTTCATTTTCCTCTAATGTTTCTTGTCGCAGGTTTTGTACCTGATCCTGTACCAGCTGGTAATGTTTTATCTTGGTTATTAGTTGGTTTTATATTCCATTTGATAATTCATCGATGGTGGCCGGATCGTTATGCACTATTATTTTCGATTGCCATGGATTTAGGCGTTGCTGTATCTTCAGTTATCATCTTTTTTGCCTTAACTAACAGGCTTATTAAGTTGCCAAATTGGTGGGGATCGGGAGGTTATTATGGTGATGGATGCCCATTATCTCATGCAAATTATACAGGACAATGAATCTATCTGCTGACTATTCTTCTTATTTTCATAATGCAAAAAACAATATAAATACTATTATATCTTCTCCTTGTTGTTTCAAACTTTCAACGTTCTTTGTCTGTCGTCTCAAACTTTGGTATTGTTATGTAGTGTATTTCTTCTCAATCGATTCTCGTTGGTCAAGGAATTTATTTTTATAAACAAAACTGTAGAATACTGGAGCATCCATATACTGAGAAACGACTGGTATTTATAGGTTATAGACAGAGAGAAGAGAACAGAAACAAGCACATCTCTCTTATAATATCGTGCCATACACAACAGAACACAGAATATCACACAGTTAAACAACGAAGAGAATATTACAAAATACATCCAAGAAGAAGAAAAATAGTAAGATATTTTTCTTCTGCATACACAATGAAGAAAATGAAAAATAAAACTGTTCTTATCGACCTTTACAGTTTTATCAGTTTAATCTTCGTAATTCATCAACGTCTCGAACGATATGCACAATTTGTTAAGGGGGACATCCTGTCGCAGGTCATGGTTGGAATCAATCTGGTAAACCGGCGGCGGTATAGCACGTAAATCGATCGGTATTTGTCGTCTTTTTTACTGACTTAGCTGTGAGAAAACGTATTTCGCTTTTTGCCATTTTACCACAAAATTAAGTTGAAAATTACAAAATTTACGGTTCATCCCCTATCGCAACTAAAGTTTACTGGTAAGAAACCATTTAAATACTTTTTATTACTACATCTAGGTAGCACTATTTAAAGTCGACAATAAAGATGCAATCCTCTAATTTTCTTTCACTTTCTTCTAAATGTTCTAAAACTCAACTTTTGATAAAATCGGACGGTTTTCCTGATGTCAGACCATATCACTTTAAAGTTTGGACCAGTTGGTTCAGTCTGGTTCTAACTCTGCCGTGTATGTTGTTGCTACAACACTTCTTGTGTTTTATCTGCATTGCGATGAGAATAGTATAGATGTGCTCTGTTAATTTCGATAAAAACAATTCTACCATAACAATAGATTTTATTTGAAGAAGAATGAAAAGAACGACCGACTGATGCATCGGCTAGTTACAGTTCTATGAGACACATAAATCAAGTTCAGATGATATACTCCTAGTTACATTGGCCGATGTATCGAGTAAAAAGTCCATACTAGATACTACCAGATGCATCTAGGAAAGAATCGGGTGTATTAGCTAGCTGCATCAGCTATATCCCGATTCAGTTTTCGGTGTTTTTTATGTGTCGAGTTGCATCGGGTTTGTATCTAGATGTATCGCCCAATAAGAGGTATATTTTTCATACGTGGGCGCGCATTATTAGTTGTACCAAAAATAGCAGAATATACGACATATTGTAATGGAATTCAAGCGGCTTCTCTGCTTGTTCAAATGGCTCAAGAACGACCATGAAAACATTTTCCTATGCCTCTATTTTGAACCATCAAAACCAATAGGAGAAAGATGCTGCGTTTCATTTCTTAGTCATACACATTGTTGTTTACCTTCATATCATAGTTATGTTGAAATAGACACAATCTCCCAGAGTTCTGAGATCAGAAAATTAAATATATTTCACGAGCAAATTTTTAGTGTATGAATTTTTAATGTAACGTATCATTACATGCGGTAATCGTGATTGATGCCGTTCCAAAATGTATAAGAATGAATTTACTGCATTTTCGCTATAGCCTATATTATTTAAGCACAGTGTGCATCCAGGCGAACATTAAGTGAAACATGACAAGCGACTTTTGAAAGATCCAAACTGTGCTACATATACTTTGAACTAGGCGCTATTTAATGATAATAAAAGTTTTGTTACGAAGTCTAACTGGACGGAAAATCAACTAATTAATAATTAGTATGAAAATACTGGTATCAACGAGAAATTTAGTGTACCAGAAAAATGGCTACTCAGGTAAGCAAACGCATTATATATTCTGAATCTCCGCATTTTTTACTATATATCAGTAACAAGAGTTTTGAGTTTGAGCCAAAAGGTAATGAGGGAAAAAAATAAAAGTTTTTACTAAATGGTTATCTCAACAGCTATGTTCAATAAAATAAATACGCCCTTCGGAGCCCAAATCGAAATGCCTCCAAACTTGTATAGAATATTCTTCAATGTTCCAACTATTAGCACAATTGGCGCTAATTAGCACCGATGCTTCTGGACTGAGTTATAGATTTTCCAAAAGACCCTCGGATTTCCAGTATTTTCCAATGTCCTTTGTCTAGAAACGTCGAAGTTCAATAAAAATGACATATTCGAAATCAGCGCAAAACACTGCATCGAATGATATATAGGTTCTTAACTTTTCTGCAGAAATATTTTCGATCAAACTGAATTACAGAGTCGAATTGATGGCGAGGTTTTCGAAATGCAAAAATAGTTTTGTAGGTTTTTCTAAAAATCCGATCTCTAGAAAACCTACAAGAAATTATTTTTGCGTTCTGAATATCTCATCATTGGAAAGAGGATATTCGAAAATCTATAGAAAAACGTGTTTATAGATTTTCGTACCACTTTCACAGCATATGTCTGCCTGCTCTATAGAAAAATGCACACTATGCTAAGCTAGTATCATTTGTAAAACCGCCGGACTTCCGAAACAAGGTCGCTGATAAGTTGCATATTTCTAATTGTATTATAAAAGATCTTGATCTTGCCTGTTTATGACCCATTTAAGTACTCACAGGTACTTATCAATGTCAAGCTTCAAACCGAGTACGCAGTTGTATCTTTACCTTGAATAAACATCACTTGAGTACTTCACGAAAACAAAACATGATTGAGCAAATACATGCAAAGCGGCACCAACCATTCTGAGATGAACTCTTTGATGAATTCATCACAGACAAACATTACAGATAGAGAAGAACAAATCGAAAGCAGACAGCATATTTACATGAATAATGGAAACGCTCTTACATTCGAGAGACAAAGGTATTTTACATTTACACAACGACTACCGCAGTGCCGACGACGACACAAAGTAACCATCCGAATTCTCATCCGACGTCAGTAGAGGCTAAAGGCAGACGGTAAAATAAAATAGGCCTGTTTTTTTCTTTTCCTATTTTTGGGACTGACGTGTATAATATAAACCACTATATCCACCAAATGCTAGTTCTTAACGGTATCTTGTCGATTATACGCTTCCACCACTGTCACTAAAATATATTTGGAAACATTTTGGTTAGTATTGAGAGAAGAGCCTGCTTATATTGCTTTCAAAACAACTAGACGGTAAAAAAAGCTAATAGTGAATATGGTCTAAAGTAAAGTGCTTCAGACTACCTACTCCCATTATCAGTTAATGAGTTGGAAAAATGCCCTATTTTGTGTCCAAAAGTGAAATAAGGTCATGATTACTTGCGAATCCATTGAAGTTCTCAACTAGGCGTCTCACAGGTTTCTGGCCAGCACCAGCACACGTCTCATTGATACGTGTGCTGGATGAAGTTCTGAATAAAGCTTACCTGGCAGTCATGATTTCAGCATCTATTTTGATTATTTCAAATGGTCTTGCTCGAGAAACTAGAAAAGAGAAAAGAAAGTAGAAAAAGATCTCGAAGTATTGTCGGGAAAACAAAAGATTGCACTCGGACGTTTTTCGAATAACGTTGAACAGAAAAGCGATAGAGGCTTGCGATCTTCACCAGTTGGAAGCCAAGACCTGACCACATGCTTCCATCACGAAAGCCATTTTGAAAATATTTCTCTTAAGTAGGTTTTCCAGGAGATCCTTAAAAAACCATGTTATTACTAAAAGCGTATAATAAAAATAGTTTTGGTTTTCTTCGTGGTTATGTAGTCTAAAGTGTTCCTTAAAAATGGGGTGATGTAAGTCCTTGATTTTCAGTGGTCCGGTCATTGTATCTGACTTCACTGGAGTCTCGGGTCAGGACTGTCATTCGGTGACTTCGAGTAACCTTGAGACCACATGAACCATACGTAATCGACCAACTTGAAACATGTGGCAGTGTATTCTTTCAGGAAGAGTTCGAAAATTTGGTGAAAACTGGGATTATAAGTAGTTTTCACCTAATATTAAAGAATTTACAACAACAGATGAGAATGTACTAATCTATACCCCGCTTATAAGAAATCTACAAAATCAAGTTTACAGAATTGCACGGAATTACGAAAGGATTTCTGAAAAACTATTGAGCAAAAATATGGTTTTCAACTTTTTCGATGATATAATCATTTATCAGACAAGTTTAGCCATGCTCTGAAGTTTTGAGGGGTTTTCAAGTTGTTTTTACCTAATACTAAACAATTTCGCATTCCAGGCCTTTCGTAATTTCAACAGTTTTGTAAACTTGTTTGAAGAATAGAAAGAAACATAAGTTTCAAGTTTCCTTATAGGATTAGAACTGGAGAAAAGACCGAAACTGTATTTCCCAAAGCGAGTGCGAGTCCTTTAACAAATTGTGGTATCATAGATGACCGAGTGTAGGTTCTCAAAATGTCACTGTAGGAGAAGTTACGGCAAACCGAAAGAATAGATGAAACGAGAATATCAAAAGTGCTTAAACGAAAGAAATACTACTTAACAGTTTTCTGTTTCTCATTTAGTATCGAACGAAGCTAACGAAACTTCAATTGATGAAACAGAAAATGAAGCAAAAATGGCAGTAATTGAAAAAAAAGCTGTTCCGATTGCGTTTATCAGGATACATAGGAATTCAATTTCTCAGACTTCTGAAACGTTTCCTCATTGAGTGATGATATTTACAAAAAGAACGCCACATTTATCTTTCAAAAGATTCTCACGCTTTTTGTATGGTATGTACCTTTTTCGATCTCTTTGTAGTATGAGAATGCGACTTATATGTTAATAAGCTGGACAAGCCAGGGAAACGAAACAGAATGGTTAAACTTTACATAAAGAAAAAGCTAGAATAAGCGGTTTTCAACTAAGAATACGAGACACCAAAAACCTAACGCCTAATTTCACGCTTAACCTTTAGAAACTGAAAATGA